TTCAATACTTGACATGTCGTAATAGAAGTCGAATTCATTCATGAATTTATGTCATTGTGGCATACATTCTAGAAGATGTTGATCATAAATTGCAGACTTCGTATCGTAATTGATTCGATTAGAATGGAATTTCTCGAATTCTTAGTCGAATATTTCTTGCTATGCCGGACGGGAATGGCAACGCTTTCATATGCCTTCCTCAGTCTAGCTGGATGCCCCCCCCCCAAAAAAAAATTCATCTGAGTTTGCAAAACATGCCACCACAATGCGCATCCAGACGGACAGTCACACACACACACACACACACTCTTAACTGTAAAGGTTAAGTTTCACTGATCTTCATCTCAGTTGAATGGCTAAAATCGAGTTTGTTTGATGTATTGGTGATGACGGATCAACAGAAATGCGGTTTGTTTTAGCGTAATGCAAATGATAAGATGGGGATTGTCTTATATTCTCTAAGCTTCAGTTGATGGATGGATCATAGACGTTTCTTCACCAGGCTAAGCGACTTTATAGGTAAGGTTTTGTACTTCTTCAGGTTCTGTGAATGTTTTCGTTTGCCTACTTACTGTGACACTTTCACCTGGTCTGTTTATGAAACATCTCTGATCAAATATCAAAGTCTGGAGTACTATATATGATTGTGTCCCGCTTCCTGGGCTATAATTCATTTTTACTATGAGAAACTCTAATACATTTAATTAGTTGAATAACCCAAGGTTAGATGATTGCGGATTGTTCATTTAGAGCCTGGAAGCACTGGACAGCTTTTTTGTCCTAGCATAGACTCTTCAGCAGTGCTCACTCATGACCCCGCAAGGGATCGGACCCGCAACCCTCAGGTTCTGTGGCCAGCACGGTACCATTGAGGCACTGGGTCGGAATCCAATGGTCCATATTTCCAACTTCTGTCACTTCACAACAGCGCGACCGCCATCCAATGTCATCTTTGAGTATTTATCCTCACGGCCAAAAACTTTGCCCCTCTGGTCACAACCTGTCATTGGGACTTCAGGAATCACCTCTCGAAGCTAGTCACCAATGAACACCAGTTCAATTGAATTTGGGGTTTGTGGGGATTTAGAGATTTTAAAAATTTAACTGTTTATTTAACTGATATTATTGCTAATAGGCTCAGCTAAGCTTCAGGCGATATTAACAGAATAAAACGAAGGATGGATGGTGATTTGGATACTACCCTCTACGGGAAAATGACACATTGTAACAGGTATCTAAACTTCATGTCATCTCATCATATGTCAGTTGAGGCAGGTTTAGTCAAATGTCTAAATGACAGAGCTAAAAAACCCATCAGTCATTGTAAGGACTTAAACAAGGAAGTGAAACACATTAAGAAATCTGTAGGAAAAAAAAGAAACAAAATCATAACAATAATACGAATATAAGCAATGGAGACAATAGGAGAAGAAAGGAGTTTACAGCTTCCATTTTCTTAGCCTGTAACGAAGGTACTTCAGAAACTTCACATAGGATTCTAACAAAACTGGAATTAGGGTGGCATCTAAACCTACCCACAAACTCACTCAGAGATAAGCTTTGTCGGATGGCTTCAGGATCCACAAGAAGCAATTCAGCAAAATAATCTAATCTTCCGAATCCCATGCAATGATTGTGAGGTCAAGTACATAGATCAATCAAACTAGCCGATCGGGGTCAGTTAGATCAGCGGAACATTAGAATTCAGCCAAGTCTAAAATGACAGACTCAAAATAAGATGGATAATTTAGAAAAGAACTCGACTATCGCAATGTATGCACTAACACACAACCACACAATGGGGGGAGGGGTGAATGAGACCACTGTACTTAAGTAGAGATAGAGAGGGGAGAGAGAGAGATTACTGAATAATCTTTGTTCGTTGAATCAACACAACACCCAACTCAACACATGTCATAGGAATGATTGGACACGTATGCCAGAGATATGGGAAACTTAACTACCAATCAAAACAAAGAATACGAGGTGATAGGACAATGATAGTCAGATATCGAAAGGAGTGTGATTCAATTTGGTATGATTATGAGCAATGATAATTTATGCTCGAAGTGTCGTCACGAAGTAAATAATGCTGTATCACTGTGTTATAAATCAAATAAAGAAACCTAATATGGGAATTCTCTAAAGTTTTTTTAGTAGTTATTTTAATCATACCTTATTCATTATGTTCATGGTTTCAATATATGCTTTCATTCCTTGAATATTGCATACTGAAATATTGAACACTATATGAATGTTTCAGTAGTAGTGATAGAAATCTTGGATTCTAGATTGAATTGTAAGTGAATTTCGTTTTTTTTTGAACAGTGTAACGAAGTCTATGGAGCCTTTTCAAAATAAATGTAGATATCCCTCTTAAATTGCTCATTTACTGATGAAAGTAACATTTCATGTCAATCCGTAGTGTAAGGTTTATTTGTTTTTACTAAATGTTAGACACATAAGTTGAAAAACTTTTTATTGGCAAAGTTTTTACATCATTCGATTACAAACAATATTTAGGGTGATAATAACTATCAACTAGAGGAATATTGACCATCACTGTGACATCCGTATACTGATTTTTTTTAAACCATAACATTGAAGTATATATTAATGATGGATAGTGACTAGCAGTCGAATTCAAGATGCGCGTTTCATCCTATCTGGGACTAATCACCTAGATGTATCTGCCTCCCAGTGAGCGATGTTGTTCCTACTAGGACTGGAGTTCGGGACGAATCGCTTCAAATGTCACATCGTTATCCACTAGGCCACCGAGTCACGGTAGCCACTTCTTTTGCGGTAGATATAGTTTTTGCTTGTATTATATCATCATTGAGTGGATCAAACTGATTGGTCTCTATATTGGCATATGGCTAATATCGAGGGATCTGCCCTGGAACCCATATGCCAATAGAAACCGATCAATTTCATTCACTCAGCGATGGAATAATACAGGCAACAACATAACATTGAAGCATTTAAAGTATATTCTTTAATGCCAGTTGGTATTACTATGTAAACTAACTATTCGCTAAGGGTCATCTTCACTTGTATGGGTAGCTATGATTGCGCCTAAAATGTTCCTGCACAAATAAGTACATTTTTGCTACCATTTGTCGAACTTTTTATCTTTTTGTGTCTGCAAGAGGTTTACTTGTTTAGAGGTGTTCGATCGTCTGCTTTTGAAGTGTAATCCTTCAGCTTCTTAGATGTAAAAAGCTGATGATGAACGCAGACTATCTGAAAATGGTACTCAGTAGTCAATAGGTAGGTTTAATAAAACCACGGATTAGTCAAAGAACAGCTTAGCTGCAGTGTTTGTTGATAGAAAAGTAAGTCTGTAGTAGACTCTATGAACACTTAGTGACTGAGATGGTTTAATATGTATTCATTGGTTACTACAGAGTCACCGATTTCATGTTGTCTAATTCTAAGTGATGACTGAAACCTATCCATCATTTTACGGTATAGCCATGAGGATAGGAAATTCATCAACAACAGGAAGCCCTGTAGGTAGAAGATGTCAGTTACGACCCAAATAGATCAGTGCTGATGTCTCTGAACGCAGTACTGGACGATGTGGGTACGAATTCTAGATGGGAAATAACTTCTCTCCAGGTTGTGAAGACATTCTACTAATGAGTGCTAACAGGCGTGAAACCTAGTCGGAGGGTTCCCTGTCAATTACCTGCAACCAACTTCTACATGGTTTATATGTGTATTGTACATCTGTAGCACTTTCTAACCTTGAAACTTTGATTGAAGTAGCGACGGGATAAAGAGACTTTTTAGACAATACACAGCCTCTGGAATCAATATATCCGAATCTGAGGTGTATAGCTGTACTGTGGGCATACTGTTTAGAACCTGCAAATTTTAACTAAACTGTAATTCAGTTTCATAAATTTAGCTTCTTTAATCTTTCTGTTTTATCCTAGTCTTTAGTTTGAGGTTGATGAGGGATTTATTCTATCCTAATCTTGTTTCTTTGCACCTTTGATTTTGCATCATTTTCGTTTCATCTGCTGTCAGGGTAAACAAAAATCTGACCTCATGCACTGATTGATGAGGTTATACTTTAGTTAGTCATTGCCAAGTTTCATCGTAAATAACACCAACTTGAATGAAAATAAAAATCTGTACTGATTATTCAATGTTATTTCATATATACCCGTTTGCCTCCTGTTTACTCCCTTTGATTCACCAAACTTGTTACTAGCGGATAAAAAAGATTCGTAAGCCGAAATAGCCAGTGGCTATTGTTTAAAAGTCATATGGGACTTGATAATCAGTATCATTAATGTTTCATTACTAATCTTAATTGGATGACTTGATCGCCAAACTTGGTGATGAGATAACAAATCTGAAGGAAGCGCTTATTTTAAATGTATCCAATTCAAGTTGGATTTGATGGTTTGAAAAAATTTGGCCATAAGGTAAATGATACTCATTATTTCGGCATTTGTATTTCCCAATAATGTAAAACAAAATAAATTTGCTTCAGCTGACGTTTCGTTATTTAGTGCCAATAGCTTTATCAAGAGTTATGGTAAACCGGAATTTACAATATCCTCCAAGCTTATATATGATAATGTAATTAGAAGACGTAGATTATCTGAAAACTGTGATATATTAGCGCTATACATTTCGAACAATCTGATCACACATATACTTGTCAAGGAATTATATATGAAAACTGGAAGTGGGGGAAGGACAAATATGACATAAAGGAGTTCAATAATAAGAAAGATAACGACAGGAATAAAAGATATGATTTGAAGACAATCTTGGTAATACGATAAAATAAGCATTACCAAGGTAGGCTTAATGTAAGGATAAACTGTTTTTGCACACACGATGGGCGGTTAAATCTATTTACGGCTAGCGCCTCAACAAATTTAAGTATACGCCCCTGACAGTTTCTGTGCTAAATTGTAAAGGCTGTTTTGATATCAATTCTGTGACTCTTATCAATGATATAACCTCGCCTGGTTAACTAGTTTACTAGTTACTAGCCGGTCCTAAGCCCGGGTAAAGAGGGAAGGTTGGGCATAGGGCTAGCAACCCTACCCCGTAAAACAAATCTAACCGCTAAAGAAACTTCAAAGCACAAACAAAATATAAAAAATGAAAACAAACTTATTCCCCGCTGGAATCGGAGAGGCGAAATGACGCCAGTTGGTGAAAGCCTTCGGGAAGCCAATTGGCCGATGTGTCTTCTCTCGATGAAAGCGAAAGTAAACGTGGGGACATGGAATGTCCGCACGATGTTTGAACCCAGTAAGGCAGCCCAGATTGCAAAGGAGATGAGAAGGTATAACATCGAAGTGCTTGGGATTTGCGAAAGCAGATGGAATGGGAGTGGACTCTCCAAACTGTCAACTGGAGAATCAATAATCTACTCCGGTCACCCAGACGCCAACCACGAGCACACTGAGTTATGGAGTGGCTATCATGATGTCCTCAAGAGCATCGAAGGCTCTCATGCAGTGGGAACCAATCTCCTCCAGCATCAGGATCATGACAGCAAGATTCAACTCAAAAGGAAGAAAGGTCACAATCATACAATGTTATGCACCTACAAATAATGCAGAGCAAGAGAAAAAGGAGGATTTCTACAGACAACTTCAATCAACACTGGACAAGACGTCAGTTGGCGATATCAAAATTCTAATGGGCGACATGAATGCCAAACTGGGAGGGGACAACACGGGAAGAGAACTAACCATGGGTCGAGAGGCGCTAGGTGAAATGAATGAGAATGGAGAATTGTTTGCAGAATTCTGTGCATTCAACGATTTGGTGATTGGAGGCAGTGTGTTCAGGCACAAAGATATCCACAAAGCGACATGGATTTCACCAGATGGACACACTAAAAATCAAATCGACTTTATCTCAATCTCAAGAAAATGGAGACGCAGTCTACTTAACACAAGGTCAAGAAGAGGAGCAGATGTAGGTTCAGACCACTATCTAGTGCAAGGAACCTTCCAAATCAAGTTAAAAGCCTTCAAGGAAGCTGGTGATAGACCTCAATTCAAGTACAACACTCGGAAACTGAAGGATGAAACTACAAAGGAGATCTTCAAGGCAGCCATCAAGACAAAATGGGAGACATCGAGCAACATCCCTGAAGAAACCTGTGTGGAAGAACACTGGAAGTCTTTGAAAGCTATGTGGAAAGAAACCTGCACAGCAGTATTAGGAAGGAAGAAGAAAGAAGACAAGGAATGGATCTCGACGGATACCTGGAAGCTGATAGAGGAGAGGAGGATGGTGAAGCAGAAGATAAACCAGTGCAAGGATGCTCAACGACAAGAGGAACTGAGCACAATGTATAAAACACTGGACAAAGAAGTGAAGAAGAGTGCACGCAAAGACAAAAGACACTTCTACGAAACACTGGCAAGTGAAGCAGAACAGGCTGCAGGTAAGAGAGACCTGACGACATTGTATCAAATAACCAGGTTGCTATCAGGGAAGAGACCAACACAGATGAAACCAATAAAAGATGAAGAAGGAAATTTAATTACAAAAGAAGAGAAACAGAGGAAACGATGGGCCGACCACTTCAAGAAGCTCTTGAATCGACCACCACCTGCACTTCGTCCAGAAATACCACCTGCAACCCAGCCGCGAACTACAAGTGAACATTAATCCCCCAACGAAAATGGAAGTCCTGAACGCCATAAAGCTACTGAAATGCGGGAAAGCAGCAGGACCAGATGGAATACCGCCAGAAGCACTGAAAACAGATGCAGAGACAACAGCGGCCATGCTCACACCACTATTGCAGAAGGTGTGGAAGGAAGAGAAGGTACCTGACGATTGGAAGAAGGGTTACCTTGTCAAACTGCCGAAGAAGGGAGACCTCAGTGCTTGCAAGAACTGGCGCGGAATCACTCTCCTGTCCACCCAAGCAAGTAAAATATTAAGCCGCATCATCCTGGAGAGGCTTAAGGATGCACTGGATTCAAAACTGCGACCGGAACAGGCAGGCTTCAGGAAGTACAAATCATGTGCAGACCAAATTGCAACGCTTCGTATCATCATAGAACAGAGCATAGAATGGCAATCACCTCTCCACCTCAACTTCATCGACTTTGAGAAGGCCTTTGACAGCGTCGACCGAGAAGTAATTTGGAAACTGCTTCAATACTACGGAGTACCGCAAACCTTTATCCGCCTCATTCAACAACTATATGAAGATGCTACATGCCAAGTAATCCACAATGGGAAGCTCAGTGATGCCTTTGAAGTGAAGACAGGAGTGAAACAAGGTTGCCTACTATCCCCCATGATATTCCTTATTGTGGTGGACTGGATCATGCAGCAAACAGTAGGCAGCGAGAAGAGGGGGATACACTGGACGACGGAAAAGAACCTAGAAGACTTGGATTTCGCCGATGACTTATGCCTAATGTCACATAAACTTGAAGATCTGCAGGCAAAAACTAACAAGTTGATAGAAGAGGCAGCGAAGACGGGACTTCAGGTGAATATAGAGAAGACAGAAGTGATGAAGATACCGCACCACCACCATCAACAACAACAAACTCCAATCACTGTCAACGGGAGAAACTTGAAGGAAGTAACCTCCTTCACTTATCTAGGAAGCACTGTTTCAACTACAGGCGGGACGGACGAGGACGTCAAAGTCAGAATCGGAAAAGCAAGACAGGCATTCATTAGCCTGAAACCAGTGTGGAGATCTTCTGCACTCAGCATGCGGAACAAGATACGGATTTTCAACACCAACGTCAAGTCAGTGCTCTTGTATGGTTCAGAGACTTGGCGCGTCACGAAAGGGATTTCCAATAAACTACAGACATTCATCAACAACTGCTTACGCTGCTCGCTACTGAAGATCAGATGGCCAGAAAGAATAAGCAACAAGGAACTCTGGGAACGAACCAACCAAGAACCTATCACGCAACAAGTATGCAGGAGGAAGTGGAGATGGATTGGCCATGCACTGAGAAGGCCGACGGAGGACATCACGCGTCAGGCCCTCGAGTGGAATCCCCATGGGAAGCGACGAGTTGGGTGTCCGAGGCGAGGGTGACATGGAGGAGGTCGTGCGAGGAGGAAATGAGAGCTTCTGGGCTGTCGTGGGACCAGGTTCAAAAGATCTCAGAGAACAGAGGTCACTGGAGAGGTGCTACTGAAGCCCTATGTTCCACTAGGAACCCAAGGGACTAATAATAATAATAATAATAATAATAATAATAATAATAATAATAATATCAATGATATGTTTTGCAATGGATGATGATGGTTGTCTGCCATTTGCGCTTATCAATGTTTGTGAATCCAGCTGCTTTCGTAGCCATTCTGGAACATGTTCCCCTACCCTCCCCCACTTCCAGTTTTCACATATAATTATTTAACAAGTAAATGTGTGATCAGATTGTTCGAAATGTATAGCGCTAATACATCACATTTTTCAGATAATCTACGTCTTCTAATTACATTATTCAAATTCATAAAAGGGAATAATTGTTTCAAATTATATATGACAGCAGTCCAGTGCTCCCAGGTTTCCTTTGTTTCTCCAACTGATGTCAGTCTACGATGAATAACAACTTGAAATATATATGATAACTTGACTAGTGTTCTACTGCATGAATGATTCTTTGTTGTCAGAATTGTAGAATAAAGATGATATCCATCCATGTATAGTGTGTAGTGTGTGAATTACAGATCGAGATTTGTATGTACATATATGTTGATAGTTTTTATCATCTTGGTGTCTATGTTGGTTATGTCAGTATGTGGGGGGGTTGGGGGTAGGGTGGGTTGAGACCGGGTCAAACTACGTTTTACTCCCTTATTCCTATTTAGACAATTATGATTCTACTTTGTATGTGAAGACATTCTGCTATGAGACGTTCTTTGTAGTTTCTATAGCCTTTCTGAATAATTTCGATTCTGTCAAAGTCGACCCTGTGACCTAAGATTATAATGTGTAAAGGTATGACGGGTATGTTTTCAGTCCCACTGGATTTCTAGGGGGTTGGGTGGAAGCTCTAGAGATGGACGTTGTCCTTCAAATGAACTAAGGTTGTGGGGGGGGGGGGTTATGTCTTTAACAGCACTCCTAAAGATGTTGAAATTCATTGGTTGCAGATACTCTAGGCGACATGACTCAAGATCGAAATTCACCGTCTTATTGCTGTGTATTTCCCCTCCACAGTCAGCTTTATTACCTTTCACCCTGCATCGATTATCTTTTCTATTAAATTATTAAGGATGACAATTTAAGTCGGTACACCTTTACACAATATTCTTCAGATTTACTTTCAGCTTGTGTAGTTATAATCATGTATTTGAACAGAATGAAATCTGGGTAACCTCCTTACTCAAATAACTTGAATTCTGGGGTGGCCTGCTTAAATCTCTGGCTACCAAAACATTTTCCATGGAAAATATATTCCATTAACTTCTTCCCTTTCAGTTTGTTTTAATCTTTTAAATGTCTTCTGAACGCATTATGTACTCTCGGACGCTTATAAAATGTTTTCGAACTTTCGTTTCTCAAGCTAAGAACAAAACAAAGGAAAAACTCTACACCAGTTGTAAAGGGATTTGTAAATGCTCAAAAATACATCACACTACTATTCCTAGAAGACTTGTACAGGATTGTGAATTTCTGTACTGGCTGACTGAACTGATGCGATCAAAATTACACTCGATTTTGTGTTAATTTCTCAATTGGGAACAGATGCTAATGTAACACTAGCTGCCCGTTTCACACTTATGCCTTCAATACTGTTATCACTAACACTATGCAAACGTAATAGTTATTTCCTTTAAAAATATTGTACCGAAAGCGAATTTGTTAAAATATTCCATGCTGAAAATTCCATATTGTAACATACGTGTTGTTTGGAATAAAGTGGTTATTATTATTATTATTATTGGAGTAGATATTGCTAACCAGCAAATGAATATGACAGTAGTCATCAAACTAAACGAGAATCAATGTCTGTGGAGTTTCGCATGATGAATAGTCTTAGGTTTATCGAAAGTACTGTTTACAGACTTCACCTTCTTATTGATATGTATGGGGTATGCATAGAGATTTCGCCGTATGCTCTCAAACCTCTTATTTTAAAGTGATTCTTTTTAATATGGATTGGCTGGATGCCTACACATGCTCTCTTCTTATCTTATACTTGTTTATTGTGCTTCTTGGGTCTATAACTTTAAAATATTGTTTTTAATTTGACTATCTGAGACAGCCATGGTTTATCGGACTTGTACTTGATACTCGGTGATACTTGAAGGTGAAATGAAAGTCTGGCTATCTCAGATTGTCATTATTATTTGTCCTTCGGGTTCCTGGTGGAACATAGGACTTCAGAAGCACGTAGCCATTTCACTCTCTTCACTAGTCTTTCTAACCTGGCACCACGACTGCCCACAAGCTTTCATTTCTTCCTCACACAATCTCCTCCATGTCACCGTCACCTGGGACGGCTAACTCGTCGTTTCTGCTTTGGGTTCCACTCAAGGACCTGGTCTATCTCATGATGTTCTCAAACTATCTTCTCAGTGTATGTCCAATACAATCGATCTGCACTTTCTTCTTCTGCATATTTGTTGGGTGATGGATTGTTGGTTGGTTTGTCGCGAGCCACAGTGAGATTCTTGTTGCTTATTCTTTGTGGTCATGTGATCTGATGTGTAGTATTGAGTGAGCGTAGATGGCAGGTGTTGATGATGTATGTCTGTAGTTTGTTGGAAATGCTTTGCGTAACGCGTCGTCAAGTCTCTGAACTATGACACGGAAGCACTGAGTTGATGTTGGTGTTGGAAATCGGAATCTTGTTGACGCAATATGGTGAGTGCAATGCAATGCAGTGGAGTGGAGTTGAGTTGAGTAGATCTTCACTCTGATTTTTGGTGAATGCAGGAAGGGCCTGTCTGTTTGTGTTTCCGATCGTGGTTGCTTTGACATCATTATCTGTGCCTTTGCTGCCTGTAATTGAGACGATGCTTCCTAGGTAGGTGATTATTTCAGATAGTTAAACTTATAATCAATATACTACTCTCCTTCTGTCATTAAGGATGATTTCGATTAAGATGAGAAGTCTTGACTGAGCAGTCAGTGAGAGTAGGATCAAACAATAGTAACTCGCCACTAATTCACATGAAAGTTCTTGATGATTGAAGTGAAACTGTGATCTGACCAACAACTGGATTTCATAAGTCAGTTAGTAAAGCAGCGGGCCGTAACCCGGTGGTCATGCAGAGGTTCACATTTTCATTTCACCTTTAATCATCACATACTTAACCAGTGAACTTTTAATTTTTTCATTTTTCACATCGATCATATTGTAATTGTTTTATTGAACATACTTTTATTCTTTGTATAAGATAAGCTTAAAGTAACACTTTGTAAATAAGTTACATGTTTATTTACTTACAGTACATGTTTATTCTTGATTTTATTTATTCAAGTAAACAGTACTGATGAGAATGGCTAATTGTCAATCAATTACTGCTCATTTCAGATGTCTTCTATCAATACAGAAATACTTTGCTAGTTCATTGGATATTGAATGACTGTTTCATTATTGTTTAGAACTTTGAAATGATAGAGAGTATTTCCTAGCTCAAGTGAATATATCCTCTTCGCTTCTTTTGTCTTATTTGAACTGGATGTTTTACTGATAAAGTTTTCATTGTTTTCTTATATATAATTATCGGTACTAACTTCACCATAAAGTTAAAGGTTCTGGTCGAGTTCAGCGCGTTCAAATTTATCAATGAGCATATAATTTTTCTTTTTAGCTAGTGGGTGTTTCTTAATTCTGATTGGATATCATGAATTTTCAGTCAATCAATTTGAGGATATTTATAATTCCTCATTCAGGTTATATTGTATGATAGTTATACAATACTGCAAGTTGAAAATTGTTAAAGAATGAGATATTGAACTGGTAGCTGGAAAATCAGGCATATTCTATAAAAAAACTGGTTTCTTATGTTCATATTTATTTACTTTGTGCTATGGTTAACTCATCAAAATGTTTACGGGTTATTTCTAAAAACCCGTGTGTACATTTGTTTACTTTACTCTCTCTGTGTTTCTCTATCTCTGGTTTACTTTACAGTACGTCAACTATTGTAGATAGTCATTCTGATTATGATTTGCATACCACACAGTCGAATGAACAGACAGTATTGGCTGTTAAAGAAGCTTCACGACAGTTAGATGATTTGTTGGATTCTTTAAAACAATTTAAGGTAAGATAAAGTGTTATAACCATTTGACTTATGTGTATAAAATATATCAATTGATCCTGTCAGTACAGTTTTTCTTATTGGGATAAAAGTTAACTTTAGCTTTTGACATAGTTATTTGCTTCAAAGAAACTGTGATTTGTTGAATTTGGGGGTTTACGGAGATTTAGTGATTTTTCAATTTGCTATTCATCATAGGCTAACATCAGTTGGAGGAACATTGGAAACCTAAACAACTGCTTCGTCCTAGTGTAGGACTCCTCAGCAGCGCGCACCCATGACCCTTCCCCACCAGGGATTGAACCCAGGGCCTTAAGAGGCAAACCTGGTGGCCGTGAGGACAAATACTCGACGATGACATTGGGTGATGGTTGCGCTATGTCGTGAACTTAAAGAAGTAAGAGAAAATGGACCATTGCATTCCGACTTAGTGGCTTAGTAGTAACGTGTTGACCACGGAACCTGAAGGTCCTGGTCCCCATCCCTGGCGTGGTGGTCTCGTGGGTGTGGACTACTAAGGAGTCCCATACTAGGACGAAACAACTGTCCAGTGCTCACAGGTCTCCAATATTTCTCCAATTCATGTCATTCCATTATGAGTTAGGTTGGTCAGTCCAACACATGCTACTAATGAATGATTTTTCTGGTTGTTTCTCTGAGCAATGCAAAAAGATGTTATCTCTCTGACGGGACGCTTCAGAACGACAGGTATGAAAGAATGAAGACTTTAGATGCGGTTGCTGGAAGTCATTCACGATGGTGCAGATGTACACAATTTTTATCATTCACTAACCTTCTTTTATTTATTCTCTCTTTAATGTTATTCCTTTGTATCCACTTCTCTTTTATGTGGTTCCTTGCAGTTTAGCAAGGTGAACTGATTCCCTCTTGTTAATAATTCGGTGTTGGCTGATCTATCTCTCTGACGGCTCAGAATAAAATAAAATAAGTCTTTTCAAATAACAGAAGTTCTAGTACGCTAACGGTATTGAAGCTGTTAACCATGTTTTTGTGCTAGATATATCATAGTGCGACAATATTCTTTACTGAATACAGTTTCCTACACATTTTATTGCTCATCGTCATATATAAAGTGTGTTTGAAGTATCATCTTGTAATAAGCAAACCGAGCTACGAGATCCATATACCGACCAGGTTTTAATTCGACACCAGTCATGAAGGTTTATAGCAAAGTGTCTTATGAATCCATAGTGTGTAGCTGTTTGTTGATCGTAATTGCACTGGTTGGCTAATCACGTCTCATCCCAATCCAAGTCCAACCTAATTACAGAAGTGAAGCGTCATACTGATTATAAATGAAATAATAATAGCCGTGGTTTGACAGAATGGTATTGTCGATGTCAAAATTCACATGATAGCAGAGTAAAACCTTCGGTGATTGAGGTGAAACTAAGATGTAGTTAGCAGCTGCATCTCATAGCTTGTTGGTAAAGGACTAAGCCATAAACTTGGAGGTCTCTGTTTTAAATCTTATCATGATGGAGGCTTTCATTTCCCCTTCAATCCTCACCTTGCATCAATAAAACCAGTCTACCAAACCACACCCATCATACATATTCTCACTGATAATAAAAAAAGTAACATGGAATTAGACTGTTCCATGGTACTGAAATTCTACGTATATATATATATATATATATATATATATATATATATATATATATATATATATATATATATATATGGTTCCATTTTTCGTTAGTCATTTGATCCGTTTTCATTGTATCTCTTCAAATAAGAAAAATCAAGTATAAATCTTTTTCTTTGTGCAAGTAGTACACACTTACTCGTGTCTCAAACGCTTTTATAGTGAATATCTGTAGGTAATCAAAAAATTTTACCAGCTCAATTCGATTACTTCTCCTCAATAGCTGTTGAAAAACTTAAAGTCATTATTTTTCATCTCAGTAGAATGATGATATGTTATGAAATTAAATTTTTAAAATTCTCTTGAAACTTCATAATACATCACAAAACGTATCAAAGATTTTGATGACCATCATATCAAGTTATTCAGTATTTCAAATATCTTTTTAAAAAACAATAATTTAAACAAATGAAAGAATGCTTTTATTTGAAAGTATCAAACATTTATGCAAAGAATGAAAAAATATATATATACTGGTGTAGTGTGCATTGCTGATCAGAATGTATATAAGTAGTATATGTTGAGAGGGCGATAGAAATCATAGGCAATTACTAGCAATGTGTAAACATTCTGCCTAGAGAAAAGCAACAGACAATGTGAGCGTATTAGGAGCAAATCAAGATAAAAGCAGAAGTGGAAATTAAGCACATTATGCAGATGACTGTCTCAGTGGAAAGTGTACAATATTTGATGACTACTCTACCAGATGTCAATCATAAACATTCCTTCCTTCGTCTCACTCTTGTCGTTTCTTTCGATTGGTGTCACTGCCGGGATGTGATGAAGATTCCGTGGTCTCCAGTGTCTGAGGACGGAGACATCAAGGATCTTCCTCAGGGATTTCGAGTCGGTCGCGGAGGTGGTGGGTGTCCGTGATCCACGAGCGAAGGTTGTGGTGCTTCGCACGTTGTTGAGGGGTAGAGCGGAAGCGGCATTTGACGGCGTGAAACGTGTGGATGGGAAGAAGACGTGGGAGAGAATTGTAGGAAACGACAAAATGGAGACGAAGGAAGGAATGTTTATGATTGACATCTGGTAGAATTATTATTATTTTATTATTATTAGTCCTTTGGGTTCCTAGTGGAACATAGGGCTTCAGTAGCACCTCTCCAGTGACCTCTGTTCTCTGAGATCTTTTGAACCTGGTCCCACGACAGCCCAGAAGCTCTCATTTCCTCCTCGCACGACCTCCTCCATGTCACCCTCGCCTCGGACACCCAACTCGTCGCTTCCCATGGGGATTCCACTCGAGGGCCTGACGCGTGATGTCCTCCGTCGGCCTTCTCAGTGCATGGCCAATCCATCTCCACTTCCTCCTGCATACTTGTTGCGTGATAGGTTCTTGGTTGGTTCGTTCCCAGAGTTCCTTGTTGCTTATTCTTTCTGGCAATCCATCTGATCTTCAGTAGCGAGCCAGCGTAAGCAGTTGTTGATGAATGTTTGTAGTTTATTGGAAATCCCTTTCGTGACGCGCCAAGTCTCTGAACCATACAAGAGCACTGACTTGACGTTGGTGTTGAAAATCCGTATCTTGTTCCGCATGCTGAGTGCAGAAGATCTCCACACTGGTTTCAGGCTAATGAATGCCTGTCTTGCTTTTCCGATTCTGACTTTGACGTCCTCGTCCGTCCCGCCTGTAGTTGAAACAGTGCTTCCTAGATAAGTGAAGGAGGTTACTTCCTTCAAGTTTCTCCCGTTGACAGTGATTGGAGTTTGTTGTTGTTGATGGTGGTGGTGCGGTATCTTCATCACTTCTGTCTTCTCTATATTCACCTGAAGCCCCGTCTTCGCCGCCTCACCTCTTCTGACAACTTGTTAGTTTTTGCCTGTAGATCTTCAAGTTTGTGTGACATTAGGCACAAGTCATCGGCGAAATCCAAGTCTTCTAGGTTCTTTTCCGTCGTCCAGCGTATCCCCCTCTGCTCGCTGCCTACTGCCTACTGGTAGAATAGTCATCAAATATTGTACACTTTTCACTAAGTTAGTTATTTGCACAATGTGCTTAATTTCCACTTCTGCTTTTATCTTGATTTGCTCCTAATACGCTCACATTGTCTGTTGCTTTTCTCTAGGCAGAATGTTTACACATTGCTGGTAATTGCTTATGATTTCAGCCATCCTCTCAACATATACTACTTATATCCATCCTGATCAGCAGCGCCCACTACACTGGTTGTATCATAATCACTGGTCATTTTTTTGTTATAAATGCTACCTACCCTTTCATCATACGGTCTCGCACAGCTCTTACTATATCGATGAAATGTTACCTTAATTAGTATACCTTGTGATACAAAAGAGTATTGTTCACGATATGAATGTGGAACAACGAACTTTGGTAGATTCTTTTTATTCCCTCCGTACTTCTATTTTTGATGATGGATATTTCATCACTTGGAGCTGGATGGCATCATCGACACGTACATCATGACAAAGGACGTATGAGTAGTAATTACGTGAAGGTTGAATTGAAATAATTAGGCGACTTACCACAATTTCAAATCACAATCTTAGAGCAGCAGCCCAACGTAGAATAATAATAATAATAATTAACCTTATTCCAAACAATTTGTGATGCAATTTAGAATTTTCAGCATGATATACTGAAACAACAACAAAATATATGTATGTATGTACTCCTTTACAGCATTTCGAATTGTGTTATTATAAAAATTTAATTATTGTAAAGAAAATTAGACACGAGAATATTGCTAATTAAATTATTTAAATGAGATTGTTAACTATCACTATTTACTGACATACTTGCTATTCTCCGTTGTTTTGTTGGATCGAATTGTTCGACCTCTATTGGCATATGGGCTCCTATGCGGATGCCTCCATATTGCATGAATGCTAATTATGATAATTTGGTTGGTCGAACAATTCGATCCAACAAAACAACGGAGAATAACAAGTATGTCAATAAATAGTAATAACTATCACCCGTTGTACAAGAACTGGCTATCGTTCATCTGTGGCATAGTGGATAACGCCTTGGCGTTTAAAGCGATGGGTACGAGGTTTGAGTGTCAGTGGGAACAACATGACTGGGGTGCAGGTATATGCAGCTGACGAGTCCCAAATAGGACGAAACGCGCATCCTGGGTTCTTCTTCTAGCCACACCCAACCAGATTGTTAACTGTTACAAAGTTGATATGTGGTTTCTTTTCTAATGCAGTTTTTCTCACATAATATGCGTGCTAGGTAAGGTACAGTCGAATTCTTATACTTAGCTGTACGAGCGTACAGTCTTATGTAGTGTCTTCTCATCCTCCCTGAGGAGATACAAAGAGAGAGTTGTGAATCAAGTGGATGCTCAGTGTCAGTCTTAAT